TCAGACTCAAGTAAAGGAAAACCTTGTAATAAAATTCTAGGGGTAGGGGCAACGGGCTATGGAGTTGCCTTGGATACTATACTTATAGTAGTCGCTCGATTAAATAAGTCCGTCCACTGCAAAAGGGGAAAACACCCCTCTTCTGCATTGACCATGACTGGAGTTTTTGCAAAGGAAATTGTATGGTTGTATGAGGAAGTCGTAATCTTCCACCTTGAGGACAAGGTGGATTTTTGGGCGGCGGGTAATGATAGGCCCCAAGTTATCCATTCACGTTGTTATGTCATAATTCATATTCTAGAGAGTTCCAATTCAGTTAGTTGTTAGGGGTAGTTTGGGGAATAAAAGGGGGGAATATTAGTATAAATGTAATAGGGGAGGGAGCAAATAGATAGGAAAATATTGGGTAGATTGGCTGAGTCCAAGTAGGAGAGATCTAAGCCTCTCGAATGCTTAGAATTTATCTTTCATTTGCACTGTAATTTCAGTATTAATTCAATATCATTCACATTTATCATTTTCATTAATTGGGTTCCTATCAACAAGTCTACCACTAACGCACCTAATTTAAGTGGTCCCAAACATTCCAATTCTTATTCTCACTCATATTTTGAGTAAAAACCATTGAAACGATACAGATCGAAAAACAAGGCTCATTCTCATAAATAATCATTACATCCATCACTGCCAAAGAGCTATATGTCTCGCTAAGATTTTATTTTGTGAATTGGAACAACTAGAAAGAAATTATTGGCAAGGGTCCAGTTTCTTCCAAATCAAATGTAAAGTTTGAAAAACAAGACAGTTATCCCCTCTTTTCATTGATCATTTGATTGTAGCACAATCTGAACCCCTAAAACTCTGGAGCCAAACTTAAACCCATGACTCCCACAGGTCCCAATCTCCGTAATAACAAAATAAACCCTCAAAATTAAAACCATAAAAGCTTCGGACTTATTTAAAACCAAACAAAGACTAAAAAATTGAAAAAGGTACTCCTGGCATGTGCACAACTTCTTGGCATGATAAGCA